GGAAGGAAGGAAGGAAGGAAGGAAGGAAGGAAGGAAGGAAGGAAGGACTCAAACTGGACCTTGAGAGAAGAAGATAGTGTTCATTTCTCTGCACTGAGGAGGAAGTGAGGGGGAGAAACAATCAAAACCAGTGAACAGGAAGGGGTGATCAATGGCTTGAAGTCGGAGGGAATGCAGAGCACTAACAGCTACCACTGCTCGGCCACAGAAATGGTGAAACTGAGGCTCATTACCAAGTGTGATTAGTTCATATACAGCTACTGCTTTGGAAGACTATACTGCAATATCCTGATTCCAAAGTTTATTCTCTGTGTGTATGTCTCTCTCTCTGTCTCTGTCTCTCCCTGTGTGTTGAGACAGCTCTGGCTGTGCCAGAACTCACTATGTAGACCAGGCTGGCCTCAAAGTCAGAGGTGGTCTTCCTGTCTCTGCCTCCCTGTGTGCTGGTGTTAAAGGTGTGAGCCACCACAACTGGCTAGGGCCTCCAAATCTAGAGGTTTATACCTCAAAGTCTTGAAAACAAGGGTTCTCCAATAGTCAAACTTACTGCTCTAGATGCTAATGGTGGAGACTATTGTTCTGGGCTTAACGGACAATCACCCAGCAGCCAGTCACAGCCGTACCTTCCAGCGTCTGGACTCTGAGCTCTTCAGCCCTGAGTTGACTCAGACTCTGATGCCTCACAGCCACCTGCTCTAAGTATGGCTCTGAGTTTTGAGGGTCAGGACCCTCAACTCCTGGTGGTTCTCTGGAACTCTCAGTTATCCTCGTTGCCACTATCAGGCTGTGCTGGCTAGTTTTATGTCAACTTGACACAGGCTAGAATCATCTGAAAGGGGGTAACCTCAGCTGAGAAAATGCCTCCGTAAGCCTGGGCGGCAGGCGGGCCTGTAGGACATTTTCTTAGATAGTGATTGATGGAGAGGGTTCAACCCACTGTGCATGGTGCCATCCCTGGGCTGGTGGGCTCAGGTTCTGTAAGAAAGCAGGCTGGGCAAGCCATGGAGAGCAAGCCAGGAAGCAGCACCCTCCAGATTCCTGCCCTGAGTTCCTTCCATGATGGACTGTGATGTGGAAGTGTGGGCTGAACAAACCCTTCCCTCCCCACTGTGCTTTTGGCCGTGGTGGTTCAGCACAGCAGTGGTGACCCTAACTAGGACACAGGGCTGGAAGCCTGGGCTTTTTGCCTGCCCTTTGCACAAGCTCAGCCCACTGTAGCTGAGCGGGTGGAGTGGGGATAGAGACACATGTCACCTCATTCAGCACAGTACCAGCCCTGTGGCTGAGACTCATGCAACTTTTCAATCTCAGCTAAGGGACAATTTGCCATCCTAGATCTGACTGACATGGCATTACCTTAAAAGGCCCTTAGCCTTCTGGATTTACCCAAGCCCCTTCGTGGCTTTATTCTAAGCTGAAGGAACGTTCCGTGCTGGTTGTAATTGCTGAAAGATGGCCTCATGCCAACCCCACAACTCGAGGAGTTAAGTGTTCTTTGTTTCCTTTCAGGCAGGGTTCTAACCATCACTGGTATCCTTGGTTACCACAAAAAATAACCTGTCTGTGCTGTCTCCACTTTGGAGCGGAGGTCATGGGACTGCAGATGATCACGTGAAGCCTAGTCCCCCAGCAGCTCCCACGGCAGATACCAGTTCACACAGTTCAGTTCGGAGCAAACCTTGGACTCGGGAATGTCTGGGACTAGGAGCAACAATGAAGTTATTATGGTTTCCTGCCTCATGCCAAAGAGGCCGTGCACCACACCTCTCTATTAAAAAAAGCACACGTGCAGGAGGCTGCAGTCCATCGTGAAGAAATCAGTATCTCGGGGCAGGGAGATGGCTCAGCAGGTCCAGCACTTGCTGCTTAAGCTTGATGACCTGAGCTGGGGGGATGGCTCGGGGACAGTAAAGGCACTTGCTATGCAAGCCTGAGTTTTACCTGCAGAACCTAGATAAAAATAAAAAGAGAGAATTGACTCCACAGTGTGAGCCTCTGACCTCCACATCCATGCCACAGCAGGCACACATCCCCCCCCCCCAAAAAAAAATACATTAAAAAAAAAATCAACATCCGCCATAGTCAGCGGAGGCAGTCCCTCTCAGGGGCTGTGTGGCTAAAGCCTAAAAGGGAGGCGTCCGCAAGGGTGACGTCTCCATGTGATCCTCTTCTCGTAAGGACACTAGATCCATAAAGTTGGGGTTCCTTCCAAGAACTCCTCATAACGCAGACTCCTGTCTCCACAGTACAGCCTTCTGAGCTGCAGCCTGAGCCTTCTAGCTGGCTGGGGTTAGCATCTCAATGTCCGAGCCGGGGAACCTGCCCATACCCTGCAGCCCACAAACGCAGCGTATTTCAGCACAGGGCTTCGAGTCTCTCACATGATTCTCCAATGATCATTATTCAAGAAAGAGAAAGGCCTGTGTTTCCACGCTACATTTCCTTGTAGAAAATCCTCTTGGAAGCCAACACATTGAGGTCGCTGATAGGCTTGTCTTGGGACTGTATGAAAACTCAGAGCACGGTGCCAGCTCCTATGGAAGTGTTTCTTAATCTTCCAGGCTTTGTTTCTGGAGCAGAAGGTGTACACAGCCTGCCCACTCACCACCTTGGAAATCCTGGACTGCAAGATGGATCTGTGGTCCCTGAGGCGGCTCGGGCAGGCGCTGAAGTTCAGCAGCTTGCATTTCCTGGTCCTCGATTACTGCAAGTAAGGCTGGATCTGGAGGTCTGCAGGCTGGGCCCTAGGTGGTGAGGGCCAGAGGAGGGCAGGGAAGGACCACACCCAGGGTCTTTGTGCCTCATCAAGGGAAAGAGAACTGGCTAGCCTTTCTCCTGGGCCCAAGGAAATGTTCGTGTTCCCGTTTGTTCTTTTAACAAATGTCTGATGAAGGTGAGGGTCTTAGTTAGGGTTTCTAGTGCTGCAATGAAACACCATGACCTAGAAGGAAGCTGGGGAGGAAAGGGTTTATTCAGCTTATATTTCGACATCACCAAAGGAAGTCAGGACAGGAACTCAAGCAGGGCAGGAACCTGGAGGCAGGGCTGATGCAGAGGCCGTGAAGGGGTGCTGCTTACTGGCTTGCTTCACATGGCTTGCTCAGCCTGCTTTCATATGGAACCCAGGACCACCAGCTCAGGGATGGCCCCACCCACAGTGGGGACAGCCCTCCTCCATCAAACACTAATTAAGAAAATGCCCTACAGGCTCGCCTACAACCCAATCTTTGGGGGGCGGGGGACAAAAAGAGGTTTGAGACTTGGCTTTTCTGTATAGTCCTGGCTGTCCTGGAACTTGATGTGTAGATCAGGCTTGCCTTGAACTCAGAGATTTGCCTGCCTCTGCCTCCTGACTGCTGGGATTAAAGGTGTGTGCCACCACTGCCCAGATCTTACACCCCAATCTTTTGGAAGAATTTCCTCAGTTGAGGCTCCTTCCTCTCTGATGATGCTAACTGTCATATCCGGTTGGCATAAAGCCAGCCAGTACAAAACGCAGTGCTAGGTGCTAAGGAAGGTACCAATAAAGATACTGTGCAGGCTAGTGTTTTGTCAACACAAGTAGACTCATTGAGGAAGAAAGAATCTTAACTGGGAAGATACCTTCTTAGGGTTAGCCTGTAGAGCACTTCCTTGATTAATGATGGCTGTGGGAGGGCCCAGCCCACCATGGGTGACACCAACCCTGGGCAATTGGTCCAGGGTGTTTAGGTAGGCTGAGCAAGCCTTGAAGAACAAGCCAGTAAACAGTGCTCCTCCATGGCCTCTGGATTAGCTCCAACCCGAACTTCCCTGGATGACGGACTACAGGTTGCTAAGATTAAACAAATCCTTTTCTCCCCAAGTTGCTCTGGTCTTGGTATTTTATCACAGCAGTAGAAACCCTAAGACAGACACTAAACACACACACACACACCTACACACCCCCCGATACAAACAAGCCTATTGACCCAAAGACGTTGTCCCAGTGGCAGAGTAGACAGGCTCTTTATCATACACAGTGAAGGTCGGAAACTCTGAATACTGCAGAAAATGCCCATTCATGTTCCGTGTCCAGACAATGGAACATGGCCCCTTCGGTGACTGGGCAGTCTTCACTGAGGCACCAGGGAAGGAGCAGAGCAACTGCTCTGAGAGCTGGGGCTTGAGGACATCAGGGGAGGGTCTGGGGTGAGAATAACGCCAGCAGAAGGTTCTCTCTTTTTTGCTCTCTCTCTCTCTCTCTGTGTGTCTGTGTGTGTGAGTGGAGATCAGTATTCTCCTTTCACAAAGTTTCCATGTCCTCACCATATGCAAAGCACACCGCCCTAATGAGCTCATTCATGTGTTCTCCCCATAGCCTCATGAGACAGGGGCTCACCCCACACCTGGAAGACTATTGAAGGCCACTCAGCTCTCGGGGATGTGAACCCTGACTGTCCCAATCAGATCCCGGATGCTAGATGTCCTGGAGTCTATCACGGTACCACCCACAGGCAACTTCAGGCTACTTGTGTGAATGAGAGGAAACCGCGGAACCTTTCTGACCTCTAACAAGATGATCTTGGCTTGGGAGGGATGAGTCTGGAACTCTTTCTATGCAGTCAAGTTCTAGGGGCCTGTACTTGGAGGGGAGACTGGATCTGTGCGGGAAGTGGAGCTGATTTTTGTGAATGAGAGGGGCAGTGAGGGGTGGGGATGTTTCACAACGTAGTCCACACTGGCCTTGAAGTTCTGATTCCCCCTTCTCAGCTTCCCAAATGCTGGGGATACGGAGTGAACTATTGTCCTGGATTGCTTTCTTTTTCTGTAATAAAGGCTAAGACCAACAGCAGCTCCCGGATAACAGTCTGTACTGGGAAGTCAGGGCAGGGACTGAAGAATAGAGCCTGAGACCAGGATCTGAAGCAGAGACCATGGAGGGAGGCTGCTGACTGGCTCGCTCTCACAACTTGCTCAGCCTGCTTGCTTGCTGCTGTTGCTGCTGCTATTGATGTCATCATCATCGTTTGAGACAGGGTCTCCCTGTATAGGCTCAGCTGACCTGGAATTTGATAAGTAGATCAGACTGCCCGAAGCTCAGAAATCCACCTGCCTCTGCCTCCTGAGTGCGCTGGGATTAAAGCGAGGCACCACCCCTCCTAGCTCAGCAGCTTGCTTTTTATATAACCTGCAGCCACCTGCCCAGGGATAGTATCACCCCAGGGATAGTATCACCCCACGGTGAGCTGGACTCTCCCAAGCCAAACCTTAGTCAACAAAACACCCCTACAGACTTGCCTATAGGCCAATCTGATGGAGGCATTTTCTCAGTTGGGGTTTCCTCTTGCCAGATGACCCTAGTTTGTGTCATGTGGACAAAACAAAAATCCAAAACAACAATCATAGCAACCAACCAACACGCACCCCCCCCAAAAAAAAAATCCTAGCCAGCACAACTCTCGTGTCCAGCCCTAGCCCCATCCCAACAATTCCTTGTTAATGATTTTTTAAAAGTTGAAGTTATTTTTTTAAAGATGTGTTTATTTATTTAATGTGTATGAGTGTTTTGTGTACACCTGCATTCCAGAAGAGGGCATCAGATTCCAGTATAGATGGTTGTGAGCCACCATGTGGTCGCTGGGGATTGAACTCAGGATCTCTGGAGGAGCAGACAGTGCTCTTAACTGCTGAGCCATCTCTCCAGCTCCTTTGAAGTTATTTCTAAGCCAGTGTGATGGTACATGCCTGTAATGCTGGTATGTGGAAGGCTGAAACAGGAAAGGCTCCTCCAGTTGGAATCCAGCCTGACCAAATAGAAAACTCGGGCTCAAAACAGCAACAACATCACTCTGTGTCACTCCTAGCAGCCCATGTTAACATCTCAGAGCTCAAACTTTGGCATTCAAAATTCCTGGCAGACATGGCATAAGCTCCCCGCTTTTTGGTTCCCCACAGTGTCACCCCTCCTATCCAAGGACTGAGGACTTTGCTCCTGAGTCACTCTGGAAATTAAACATTGCTCAGTGAGGAAGCCTGGTTACAGCAGGAGGGATGAGAGGCTGGACTCTCTCAGAGCCCTGCTGCAGCTGGTGGGGGGGCTGCACCATCACTGCCAGCTGTCCACATCATCACGTCCATCTCTGCTCTCCCTCAGCGTTCAGAGCCTGTTCTCCATCCTCTCTGTTGGAAGGATGTTTCAACCTGTCCTTTTCTCTCCTCACTTCAGACCCTCCTCCTTCCTTACAAGATTCCCTCCTCTTCAGGGTCAACCCTACACTACCCCTCAGCCAGCCCTGGCCCTAGAAACTCAAACTGGGGACCAGTAGAAAGGCTACTCCTAGCTGGCCTGGGGAAGACTTCAAGGTCAGCCATGTGGCATGAACAGAGGTCCCTGAAGAGCCCACAGTTTTCCAGAGAAACCAGGAATGTTAAACACGTAGGACTGATTTTCCAATGGGAAAGATGTAAAACCTGCTCTTCCACCCAGGATGCTGGGAATCGGAAGTGATTAATGGCCTGGTGATCTAACTTATCTGTTGGGCCAGACCATAGCAAGCTCCTACAACCAGGACCAGAAGTACCTAATAGTCTAATGGCCCTTACATTGTCTGTATAGCCCGAGGCTCCCTCAAACTCCTAGAACCAGACCAGAGGTGGCTAATAGCCCAAATGACCTCTACACTACCTGTATGACTGAGACCAGACCAGACCCTTAGGACTTTAAGTACTAGCTAAGGTAGCCTGTCTCTAGAACCCCATCTTCTTGGAAGAAATGACATGTACCTTGAGTTGAGTTTCCATATAATTATGATTTCTTGTGCACTGGGAATTGTAACTACACCAGGAAACTTTTTTTTTTTCCCCACCCAAATTATACTGTGTTTTAGATGTGCTAGGAATAAACTGTCTGGCATCCGACTCCCTGAAGTTTTGATCAAGGTTGATAAAGCCAATCTGAACCGAGTTTTCCTTCTCACCTCTTCACCGCCGTGACCACCTTGGCAGGATCCCCTCAGCCTGTGACATAGTTTAAAAGCCATGACGTTTGTTTTGTTGTTTCTTCTCAGGTTTGGACATGAAGAACTTGAGAATATCTTCTCAGGCCTGGAGAGCAACCAAAGGCTCCGAGTCCTCAGTCTGCGCTACTGTGGGCTGGGGCCCCAGAGTGGGCCAAGGCTGGGCTCTGTCATCAGCCGGAGCGCCATTTGGTGAGCTGGCCCAGGCCCCTCCCTGCTCACCCTATCTCTATTTTAACTCATTACACAATGCATCCTAGCGGCTGTTTTCTTTTTCTCTTTCTCCCTCCCTCCACCCGTCCCTCCCTCCCTCCCTTTTTTCCTCTTCTTTTCTTTCTTGATGAGTGTGTATGTTCATGTAGGTGCATATGCATGCATGTGGAGGCCAGAGGTCAGCTTCATCAGATGTCATTTCGAGAGCGTTCTTGTCTTGTTCTTGAATCAGGATCTCATGCTTGAAGCTCATCACATAGGCTGGGCCGGATCCTGGAGAGCTCCAGGAATGCACCTGTCTCTCTCCCCTTCCAGTTCTGGGATTAATCGTGCATCGCCATTCCTGTGCAGAGGGTGTTTCCTAAATTTTATTAGAAATTTACATCTCAGCCGGGCATGGTGGCGCACGCCTGTAACCCCAGCACTCGGCAGGAAGAGGCAAGCGGATCTCTGTGAGTTCAGGGCCAGCCTGGTCTACAAAGAGCGGTCCAGGACAGCTAAGGTTGTTATACAGAGAAACCCTGTCTCAAAAAACGAAACAAAAACAAAAAACCCAACAACAACAAAAAAAGAAAAGAAACATATATCTTTTTAAAATTTTGTCTGTATTGTGTATGCATACACATGCATGTATATGGCCCATGCATACATACATGACATGTATATCAGGTCAGAGGAGCACATGTATTTCTCCATCACTCTCTATTTTTTGAGACAATGTCTCCCACTGAACAGCAAACTCGGCAATGCAGCTAGACTGGCTAGCCAAGTTCCAGGGACCCACCTGTTTCTACCCCTCTAACGCTGGGGTAACAGGCACTGGTGGGCATGCCTTGCTTTTACATGGGTGCTGGAGATTTGAACTCGGGTCCTCTTGGTCTTATAGCAAGTGCTTCACCCACTCAGCCATCTCCACAGCCTGATGCCCAGTGTTTTTCTATTGGCTCTGGAGACTGAACATAGGTCCTCAGGCCTGCTTGGCAAGCCCTTTACTTACAAGACTATTTCCCCTGTTGTTGTTGTTTTAACTCCTAGAAGAAAGAACCTTTAGTGAACTCTGAGGACCTAGAGTGTCTGCTGAAGGAATGGTTTGTGCTTTTGGCACAGCAGCTGTTTGTGACATGGTCTAGTGTGTGTTCGCTGTAACTATCCGTCGACTGCATTGTGCTATAAATAACCAGTTACGGTATATCAGATGAAGATCTTAAATTCAAAGTTGTAGTGGGCCTGACAGCCAATGAGCAATGCTTTCTCCCTCTTCCCCAGCGATCTGCGCCTGGATGGAAATTATTTGCAGTGTTCTGGAGCTCTGGCTCTCCTTAGACCCATAGCAGACTATGCAGAGATACAGCAAAAGAACCAGCCTGCCTTACCATCATCACACGCTGGAAGTGCCCCTCAGCTTCCCCAAGGTGAGCCTGGGGCACCCCTGTTGGTCCCTGAAGGAGGAATCTGCTTTGTAACCAGGTGACCTTCTTCGTGCTCAGCCGAGACTCCCAGAGTGTGTGGGTGGCAGAATAATGGGTCCCAAAGGCATCTCTGTCCCCCAGAACTTGTGAATGTGTTCACATGACAGATGTCAGGTCAGCTCCAGAAGATGGAGCTGTCTCCTGGACCAGCCTAGTGACCTTTCTAAGAGGCAGGCAGCAGGGTGGGAGAAGACATGACAATGGAAACAGAGACACAAGTGCTCTGATCCGGAACACAGGTGGCCTCCAGTCTCCGGAAAAAGCAAAAAAGACATTTCCCCAAGTCTTCAAAGGAATCTAGCCTAAAGGTGTCTTTACATTTGTAGGATCCATTGCAGACTTCCACCTTAGAGCAGCAAGGTAACGAGCTTTTATCCCTTCAACACACACGCACACACATACACACATCACACCACACACACATACCACACCACGCACACACACACCCCACACCATACCCATACACACACCCCACACGCACAAACACGCACCCACTGACTCTATTTCCTTCAGTTTTGTGAGTTGGGGATCTTGCCATGTAGCCCAGGCTGTCCTCAAAAATTGTGCTAATCTTCCTGCCTCTCCCTCTGGAGTGTCGAGGTTACAGGTAGGTGTGAGCCATCACTGCCAGATTTTAAGCTCCTGTTCTGTTCAGCCGCTCGGCTTGTGGTCCTTTATCACAGCCATGAGTAGAAACTAACATACCGTAATAACGAGACCCATCAGGTTAGTAAAAGCAGTTCGAACAGGATTAAAGGATACTTCATTTCTGTGTGACACACACACCCGGGCCCCTCCATGGGTACAGCTGTCTGCAGAGTCAGCTGAGCTCACTGCAGCAGGAACTCAAGGGAATTTGCAGCTCTAGTCATCTATGGTCCCCATACCTAACTATGGTCCAGGCTCTCTGGCCTGGCTCCTGATGAGCTATGGTTGACAGGATTCATCGCATGTCTACCTTGTTGGGAGGCAGAGTACATGCCAGGATTGTGTGATTCAAAGTGAGAGCATGTCCTCACCCAGATAGCAGACAGACAGATCAGTCAACCATCTCCAGGCATTCCCCATAAGTGGCTTTTCACTTGTTTAACTGAAGCCTAAGGATGCATAGTTACGGTCCATTTTAAAACCGACTACTTTTAACGATTGGTTGTCTGCATTGAACGGCTAATAACACAGACACGGGTACACCTGTGTGTGACTCTGGATAATTTCAGGTCCTTCAACTTCAAAATGGACATGCCAATAGTTACCTTTGGTGTTCAGTAAGGGCTGAGCGACAAGTGCTTGAGGGACCATCACAGCAGGCTGAGTGTTCCCTAGGGGAAGAAAATCTTACAGCACAGTGAGAAACTCAGTTGCTCTATTTGCCGGGGAAGAAAGTGGACACGAGGAGCTGAGGAGAGATGCCCTTGGGGAGAAGAACGCTAGGAACCCGTAGCTGAGGACTGCCACCTGCTCAGGGACTTTGACAGGATGGGACTCACTCGGGTCACTTGAGCTTGGTAATTCAGCCAAGCTTCTCAGGGGAACTGGGAAACCCTGCTTGCCGTCACCGCCTTTCTCAGGCACTGATTTAATATTCTTGTCAAGAGCCGCTGTCCTAACTGTGAACCCTGCGCTGTCGGTGTGGGCTCAAGACAGCGATGTGAACTCGTGTGGGCCTTCACTTCCTAATGCTGCACATGTAGAAGCAATGTCTTGAGGGTTTAGAGTGCGTCGGGCAGGGGCAGGAGAGAGCAGTGGAGAGTGAAAAGAATGCTTGGGACGTAAAGCGGAGACGTGGGGGGGATCCCAACTCTAGTTGGCTCAAGTAGTTTCTGGTAGAGGGGAAATTGCAATTTACTATCAAAGGTTTTAAGGGCCAGCAAGATGGCTCAGCAGTAACGGAGCCTCACTGAATTTGAGTTCAATGCCGAGAGCCCACGTGGCGGAAGCAGACTGGCAGGTTGTCCTCCAACCTACACAGCTCATGCACGTACACACAGACACAAATAAACAAACAAACAAACAGTGATTTTTTTTTAAAGCTATGCATGGTAGCATATGCCTTTAATCCTAGTACTCAGGAGCCAGAGGCAGGCCTATATCTGTGAGTTCAAGGCCTTACCTGGTTTATATAACGAGTTCCAGGCCAGCCAGGGCTACATAGTGAGACCCTATCTTAAAAGAGACAAACAAACCAAAGCAACGACAACAACAAAAACAACTACATACATACATACACCAACAACAAAAAGTAAGTTAAAAAATCAGATAAAAATTCTGTATTTATTTTCCCAAAGAGGTGAGGAGGAGGAGGGGGGGGAGGGGAGGAGGAGGAGGAGGAAGAGTGTCCGAGCTGGTGGCCGAGAGTGCCTGTACTGCCATTCCCTGAGCAGCTCAGGATGGCAAATGCGGCTCTCATCTTGCGTTCAGTGGCATCAAAACCCACACGCCTGAGTGCTTTTCTAGGCTCCTTTCCTCCCCCGAAGCTGGCTCTCGTTCTCCTAAACTCTGCTTTTCATCCAGCTCACCACTCCGTTCTTCTGCATTAGTTTTTGTCAAGTGGCCATATCAAAATACCATAGGCTTGCTGGCTGAACCAAAAACAAACAAACAAGCAAACAAACCAATAAAACAGTCAGCTCCTGACAGTTCAGAGGGTAGAAGATCAAGGTGTCAGCCAAGGGCTGGAGGTGCAGCTCAGCCAGTCAGTCCCCAGCACCCCGTAAGCCGGGTGAGGTGGAGCGCGCACATCATCCCAGCACTCAGGAGGTAAAGACAGGAGATCAAGGGGTTCAGGGTCACCCGGAACTACATAGAGAGTCTGAGTCTAGCCTGAGCTATGTGAAGGCGTGAGTGCGGGGGGGGGGGGGGTTAGAACTCACCTAGCATGTGTGAGTCCTTGGGTCCTAACCCCAGTGTGGAGGAGAAACAGGAGGAGGAATAAAATAAAATTCTCACTGCAAGAGCTTGCTGATCACTTGTGCTTGCAGTGTCGTTCCTGAATAATCCCTGGCAGTCTGCTTGGAGTTCCGCCTCGAGCCACCGAAGGGAGGGACAGAACAGACTATATATATATATATATATATATATATATATATATTTTTTTTTTTTTTCCTGGCATATTTACCACTTGCTAGAAATCTCTACCTTAAAAAAAAAAAAAAAAAAAAAAAACCTTGCAGTTCTAATGAAATTTTAAAGTATTAACTTTAAGATGTACCCGACTGTGTACACAGCTTTCGGCAGTCACATAGGCAATCATGAGAATGTGTATGCGTGCACGAGTGTCCCTGTGTGCATTTGTGTGTGTGCCTATGCATGTTTGCGTGTGCGCATGTGTGTATGTGCGTGCAAGTTGGTGTGTGGGTGTGTGTAGTTGTGCATGCGTGCGTGCATGTGTTCGTGCAAGCACATGAGCCTGTGTGTGTGCGTGCCTGCGTGCGTGCCTGCGTGGTGAGGCTGGAACCCAAGGCTGGGCTCATGCTGATGGAGTATGACTTCTTTGTGAGGCTCGAGCTTAGTGCTCTCCTGACCTGCGAGCTACTCCCAAGCCCCAGCAACAGCTTCGTCGTACCCTTCCTTTCTTCACATGCACTCCTAGATGCCTGGGGCGCATTAGTGCACAAAACAAAACGCTCTCTGCGGGGAAAGCACTTCTTCCCAAGCCTGATGACCCCAGTTCAAATCCCCAGGACCCGCACGGTGGAAGGAGAGAACCAGCTCCCAAAAGTTGTCGTCTGACTTTAACAGGAGCATAACTGTGCACACACACAGAGAGAGAGAGAGAGAGACAGAGAAAGAGAGTGAGACAGAGATGACAGAGAGACAGACAGATGGGCAATGCTTTTTAAAGTAACAATTGATGTAAAACAAGAAAAAGAGGGAGGTATGGTACTGTGGAGTCTGAGAAGGAGGAGAATAGAGAACTAGTGTTTGCGGGCCTTCTTTGCCTGTAGGGGTACGTGTACGGTGAGTGTCCTGTGTGAGTGTGCAGCCACGCACGCTTCTGCTGGATCATGTGGTGGCCAGAGCAGGACATTCAGGTCTCTTCCTCTCTCGGTCTCTGCCTTACTCCCTGGAGAAAGGGTCTCTCAATAAACGAGACAGAGGGAACAGCCAAGGCCTGGGGTCTTTGTGCCAGGAGCAGAAGGCCCTGTCTACACCAGAGGGGCAGAAGGTGAAGGGACCTGGAGCTCAGAACGAACAGCGATGAGTGGGGCAAAGCCCTCCATCTGGGCGGGAGCCACGCGCTGGGGAGCCGATATCCTAAGCAAGAGAGGAGGTGGCAGGAGGGTCAGTCTGCATTGCATCATCCCAATTGCAACTGGGGTACAGGGACTAGGGAAGGAGGACCTAGCAGGGCTCTAGAGTAGGGATGGAACCCAGGCCGCATGCACGATAGGCAAGCACTCTACAGAATGAACTACGTCCCTAGCCCCGTCATCGATACCATACCTACACAGTCTTTTTTCTTGTTGGTGGTAGGTTTGTTTTTGTTGTTTGTTTGTTTGTTTGTTTCTGGACAGGGTTTCTCTGTGTAGCCCTGGCTGTCCTGGAACTCTCTCTGTAGACCACACTGGCCTAGAACTCAGAAATCTGCCTGCCCCTGCCTCCCAAGTGCTGGGATTAAAGTTGTGTGCCTGCTACACTGTTTTTGTTTGTTTTCTTTTGTTTTAAGATTTATTTATTATTTACACAACACTTTGCCCGTGCACCAGAAAGGCCACCAAATCTCAGTGTAGATGGTGATGAGCCACCATGTGAGCACTGGGAGTTGAACTCAGGACCTTTGGAAGAGCAGCCAGTGCTCTTAACCTCTGAGCCACCTCTCCAGCCCCCACCCTACACCGTTTTTAATATGTACCAACAAAGTGTATTCCTCCCTCCCTTGTTCTTAGTGATCCAGGAACGTGGAGCCATGGTTACAGGAAGCACCTGTGGCATGACGGAGTCCACGGGGGCTACGGGATGGTTCCCGGAGCCCTGCTTGGCCCTGCTTAGTGGCATGTTGACCTCTGGTCTTGCAGCAGAGAAATACACACGGTAGAACTGAAGAGATCCTGATGGTATTCAGCTAATTCTCTCCCAAGAGAAGTGCCCCTGCCCAAGTGTGTATAAAATGAAGACAATCAAACACCAGTATTGAAGTATGCAGAAACCTCTTCACATGACTCTAACACTGAAACTTCTTTTTTTTAACCAGTGCGCAGGGGAGGAAACTCAAGTCTGAGCCAGATTGTGAAATCTTTCGAAGCTTTAACAGTGAAAAAGACCTCACAGAAGAAAAGGAGGAAAGGAGGTATTTGGATGGCATTTCAATTATTCCTTCCACTCCCTTCACCTTCTAACTCACTCCCTGTGTGTCCCTAGCGCATAATTAGCCCAAACAAATGTTTAAAATCAAATGGAGAAAAAGAAGACTCAATGTCTGTGACCTCTCGTAAACCACCCAGGAACAGTTTCACCGTGTCTGCCAGAGAAATTCATCACAGGCACGTTCCATATTCCAAAAAAGCATGGTTTGGAACAATCCTTCCAGGGGCTGCCAGCGAGGCCTCAGAATTAGGGTTACGCAGAGTTAGAAGCAGGGTGACCATGAAGGGGCTTTGAGAAATCCCAGCTCAAGAGAGAGATGGGGAAGGGCAGAGAGAGAGAGAGAGAAAGAGAGAGAGACAGGGAGGCAGAAGGGGAAGAGGAAGAGGGAGACAGAAAGATGGAAAAACTGAACTCTAAGCAGGCTTCACGACTCCAGGAACCTTCCAAGCACTGAAATTCAGGGTTGCTGCAGCCCTAGACCCTGCTCCCGGCACTCCTATCCCAGCGCTAACCCACTGCAGCTCTAGCAGTGCAGAAGTACTGCTGGGTATGTCATGAACACAGCCTCCAGGAAGCAAATCCTGGGCCAGCCTGAGTCTGTGCTGCTGTGTCCCGAGCATCCAGTGGTTTGTTTTGCGTTTGTGGGTAAGACAACTAGTTGTTTGAGTGGAACCCAATCCCATTGAGGTCTTTCTTCTTCAATTTTAATCTGTTCTTATGTGGTTGGTTTTGTTGTGTTTTGTTTCTGTCCTTGAATTATATTTGAATCTTCTCTGTGAAATACTGCCACATTCGAAAATTATAAACTCTTGTGATCCAAAGCCACATAAAAATGTAGAGCAGAGCGTATGCCCTGGATCCCATTGCATGGTAGATTGAAGGACGAGGATAAGAGGTTCAAGATTATCCTCAGCTACAAAGCAGAATTTGAGGCAAACCCAAGCTACATGAGACCCTGAAGGAGGAGGGAAAGGAGAAGAGAAAGACGAAAGAGGAAAATATGAAGTAAGAAAGCACAGCAGGCCTGGTGCGCTGGCTACCATGAATGCAGTTTTCTCAGTGGGTAGTGCTAACAGAGGAGGCATTCAGTGTTTCCAGGTCTAAAGAAGTAGCCTTTGACGTGTTCTCTGGACCAGCAGAAGGGCACTGGAGACAAAGCTTTGTGAGTAAGCTAACTTAGGGTGGGAAGAAGAAAAAATAAAATGGATGAGGAAGGGCTTAAGTAGGAAGGAGCTTACCAATAGCATCCAGGAGCCCGCAGGTTTGGCTAAGTTAAGACAAGAGGATGCAGGAGACTGGCCGTTTGAGGGATGGATTACATTAAGGGACTTATAAGGCAGGCCAAAGGCTTGGATTTGGCCTAGCAAACAATTGAAGCCATTAGTCTCCTGAGCCTGAACCCAACGGAAACAATTTTCAGCTATTATATATGTTTATATTTTCAGAGATAACAAAACAAGCATCAAAACACCTTCCCAAAGGCAGGGCATGATGGCACATGCCCCATGAGGGAGAGGCGGGTGGAGCTACGGGAGCTCAAGACGAGCCTGGTCTACATAGAGAGTTATAGGCTAGCCAGGGCTACATAGTGACTTTCCCACACTGCACAGCTGCTTTTGCCATCATAGGAGGTTGCAGGGTAGATTCTGTTCCTTGACAGGACTCTACCTGTTTCAAAGGGGTCAAGATGGGTTGATCTGTGTCATGCTCCTGGATGGGACCAGATGGTTTCCATTTGGTCCTAATTGGAAACAGCCAAAATATTTTCTCGAACACCCCTTTGTGGGCGGGAGGATTTTTGGACCGATGTTTGGAAAGTCATGCCCACGGTACCCTGTGAGGCCAAACTCCACTCAGAAACCTAGCCCCTCCTCCAGACTCCTCTCATTTGGAGTCCTAAGAACTCTTACAGTGATCACCACAAAAATGTGACAAACCGATGGCCGGGTGCAATGCGGCACGCCTGCAATCCCAGCACTCGGGAAGGCAGAGGCAGGTAGATCTCTGTGAGTTTGAGGCCAGCCTGGTCTACAAAGCAAGTCCAGGACAGCCAAGGCTACACAGAGAAACCCTGTCTCGAGAAAGAAAGGAAAAAAAGTAACAAACTGACATTGGGCAGCCATGTATAAGCTTGATGGAAGAGCGCAGCTGCCTGCAGCTTCAGACGTGCCTGTCTCCTTCTGCAACAGTGGGCCGCTGAACACACAGAAGCATAAAGCCTGCGCTGTCCAACCTGCCAGTCATCAAAGGCCCCGTGAGAGCTTGGGCACCACGCCGAAGGACTCTGAGGTTCTTCATTTCTGTCTAGGCCCCATCGAGGCTGAGGCTGCAGGTCCAGAGAACTCACCAAGAACCACTTCTTTTTTTTTTTCCATTTTTATTTTTTTTCTTCATTATATATCCTGATCAAAGCCCCCCTCCCTCAACTCCCCCAGTCCCACCCTCCCTCCCTCTTCCCCTCTTCTCCTTCCCCTAGTCCACTGAAAGGGGAGTTCTCCACTAGTGCCATCTGCCCATAGCTTGTTAAGTCTTATCAGCACTGCCTGGATCCTCTTCCTCCGTTGCCTGACAAGGCTGCATCATCAGGGATGAGTGATCAGAGAGCAGTCAACTGAGTTCGTGATAGAGGCAGCCCCTGCTCCCCTCCCTCGGAGATCCACATGGGGACTGAGCTGTCAATCGGCCACACCTGGGCAGGGGAGGAGCCACTTCTTCAGACTTGAAATCATGGACTGCCTCCCTTGGTTTGTTTTCACTCAGTGAAGATGAGAGAGCAGAATGGGGTCCTCAATCAATGCCCCTCCTGTGCCCTGGGAACCTCAGAACAAGAGGGCCAGGCCCATCCTGCTGGGATGCTCAGGCTCACGCCTCAGTGGGTCCAGCTCTGACCCCCAGGGTCTGTCTACCACAAAAATACAAGAGTTTGGAAATTGGTCAGTTGCAAGCAGGTGCCGTCCGGCTTTGTCACACCCTAGTCACAAATAGCAGCAGAAGATGGTCAAGGTAGAAGTCACCCAGTGGTTACAGGGAGTAGCCACCTGCTAATAACATGGTTCTTAGCCATTCCACTGGTCCTGCCTTGTCATCTGGACCTGTTCTTTTCCCAGCTGAAGCTAGCTACACAGTGTAGCGGTCCCCAGGGCTGTCTTTATTCTAGAGAATGAGAAAGGTCAGTATGTGACTTAAAACAGAGGCAATGTCTAATCCTAGCACGATCCCTCCAGGATCCTGAGCGAGACCAGAATTTGACTACAGTACCAAGCTGCCCAAGTTCAGGTCTCCAAAAAAGGCATTGCTGCTTATATCATAACCACAGAAATACCAGTGGCATTAAGGAATGCAAGGGACCATTGCAAGAGTCAAGATGTAATCTTCAAAAGCTTTATTCGTTTGAAAACAGGAAGTTCCCAGTTACAATCCTGAAATCCTGCACTCCTGGCTCCGTCCTGAGGTGACAGCTGAACATGGAATGGAGACCTCTACAGGAAGGTGAAGGACCCCACTGTGAATCAGCCAATACTCATCACATTTTGCTTTCTCCAGTCCCACCGTCGAGTGGATTAATGTTTCTTTTATAAAACCAGATGGTTGGCGGGAAACTGCAAAAAGGAAGGGGTTATTTTTAAACAACTTAAAAAAAATTTTTTCCCCATAAGGAATAGCTCCCACTAGGCCCAGGATCTACAGATAAGCACTGCAGAATCTGTGAAGCCGCGTGCCTTGCTGGACCCAAAGGAGACCAGATGAAGAGGGAGAGGACGAAGCTGTGTAGGACCACGCTGGTTCTGTGAACATTTCCACTTGACCTTTGGGGTCTAGCCCACAGAGAGGGCCCAGGGAAAGGAATGAGAGGTGTTACAGCTAGAAAGAAGGCTGTTCTAAGCAGCAGCTGTAATGGAATTTTGGTTTCTTTGTGGGATTTTAGTTGGGCTGTAGTTTGTCCACAGCTGTTAATTGTCTCATGCAGGGCATGGCTCTTGCCGGCCGGTAATGGCCCACCTCGCGCCTCATGAGGCATGGAGAGGGGCGTGGTCTCGGACTCTGGGAGACATAGATTTGAGAGCTAAGAAAAGCTGTGGCGTGTGGTGTTAGCGTGTGGCGTGTAGCAGTGTGAAGAGACCAGGGAGACGGGTGGTAGGGCAGTTTGGAGCAGACAGATGGAGAGAAATGTTGGGGGGAGAGGGCAGCACCTTAGAGGAGACCTTTGGGTGCATTTGCCGTTGGCAGAGATTGGTAGATCCTCCAATGGGAACTATTGTAGTCAACACCAGGGAGTCTAGCATGGGGGACCTGCTGCAAATGTCACTGAGGAGGCTGGTGGGCCTAATATCAAAAGTCACAGACCTCAAGCTGGGATGATATGGTGGAATCACCTGCCAGAAGCAATTAACGGAGGGAAGGTTTATTTCGGCTACAGTTTCAGAGAAGTCGCAGTCCTTCCTGGTAGAAGGTACAGAGCAGCAGGGGCGTGTGGCGGAGCTCCATGCAGAGCAGCCAGACCAGGACCAGAAGTGGGACTAGGTCTCCAGGCTGGTTTCCAGAGACATGTGACCGCCAATGAGGCCCTTCGTCCACAACCTCCGGAAACAGCACTTTCAGATGGGAGCCATGCGTTCAAACCTACGAGCCTTGGTGCATTTCACCGTCAGACCATGACAAGGAGCCATGATAGTTTTGAGTATTTGTGTGTTCGTTTTGTTTGCTTTGGAGCACTGCTGTTTGCCATGCACTGTGCTTCTCAACAACTGGGCATTGAAAGGGCTTCCCAGCCAACCCTCACGATGATGCTGAAAATTGAACCCGGGTCCTCTGGAGGGGCAGCCAGTGCTCTTAGCTGCTGAGCGCCCTCTTCACCCCACACCTGTTTTAGAGTAGTAAAAATAAGATTGAGTCAAAACAGGTTAGAGCGAATACAGCTGGGGCAGATCAAGTATGACCAGGGGCTGAGCATGTTCCCATCCATATTCCAAGGAATTTGTTTTCCACCCAGAGAGAGGAGGTTGGTGTTGCTTTGGTTAAAGCCCAGAGGCAGGAATGCTGACCTGAGTGGCAGCGGTTCTTCCTGCCTTCTTTGGGAGTTCCTGAAGCTCAGGAGAGGTCCACATGCTCCATGTGCTGTGAGCAGAGATGGTGTTTTCATTAGCTTCCTTGATGCTAGTTTTGGAGTTGAGATAGTTTTCCCCCAGGAATGCGAGCTCTGCCCAGCCCGTCACAGGCCCCGCAGGCTCCCCTCTTCACAGATGTACATTGACACAGAGCTGAAAAGAAGGTGCCGAGGGACTAACAGTGGCTCTCCTGTGAAGCTGAGCATCTCTATAGGAATTTGGCCTTCAGCCCTCATCCCCATCTTGGCTCAGGTTTTACGAACTGCTACTTTCTAGTCCGTGGAAACTGGGAGAAAGAAATGAGATCCAAGTCGCCAGGGCAGAGACACGACTTTTAAGACCATTTCTTAGGAATGAAAAAAATCATATTCCGCTCATGTTCCATTCATTCTTGAGTCAAGACATCGTACTTTAAAAAAACTGTGAATGGTAAACGTTCTGATGATTTGGTTGCACTTGACAGTCCGGGAGGCACTCATGCATTCATGCATTCATTCATTCATTCATTCATGAACATTCAAGTATCTGCCACATGCCACATACATAAAACATATGTTCTAGTATATTTGATGCTGATATTCTTGACACCTGTCACCTGCTATCTTGGCCACGCTCTGGGCGCAGTGACAAAATTTAGATGTTATTTACTCCAAATAAAAAATGAAAAGGTGGGCCAGTCTTCATCTGTAATCTCAGGTAAAATCCGTTTCATCTAGCGACCCAGCAGATTAGATTTATAGCCGAAGAAACCCATTAGACCTTGTGTGTAGACAGACACGTGCACGTGGTGTGTGTGAGCGCGGCTGAAGCTCAGCGGTCAGAGTGGAAGAGTGGATGTCCTCCCCTATTGCTCTCTGTCTTCTTCCCTTGAAACAGGGGCTCTCACTGAATCTGGAGCTAGGCTGGCAGCCAGCAAGGCCCAGAAATCCTCCTATGCCCTGCTTTGAGGTTACAGTCACATGGACCATGTGACCCAAACTATCAGAGACTATCTGACTCAGATGTAATTTGGAGCCCTAGGAGGTAAAGAGTGAAGGGGGGGAGGGGGTGCAGAATGAAGGCGAACCAAATCTAAAACCGGGACTTCCAAAACCCGGTATAATTCTATTTCATTGATTGTGTTGCAAAATAAATCTATTTACAAATCCACTATTGTAGAAACTTTATTTAAAAACCAGCGTTAGCTGGTAATAAATAGAGGACCTATCATCTGAAAGCAATCCCAACATTCTGATTTTTCTTGCAGGAATCAGGAAAACAGTTAAAACCTTGATGGAAGCCGGCCCTTGGGTAGTGGCGCTGCATCTGGCAGATAACTGCATAGACGGGACGGGAAAGGATGGAGAGCGACTGCTGGAACTCACTCGAGCTTTAACATGGTGGGGAATAGGGAGAGAGCTGAACTCATTGACGTCTAAAACTAAAACGCTGAAGCTAAGCCGCACATGGCTGATCACAGATCTTTAGCTCCGAGAGAGGCATTTGCCAGTCTGGGTCTTGGCACTTGGGCCCTGCAGAAATCTCATGAGGAGACTCGTTTCAAAAGGGTGGCAAGAGTTAAAATACCCACGAGCCCGCTGCGTCCCTAAGTCAGGATATAACTCAAAAACTGAACGCCGCTGCCTCAGGAGGAAAGGAAGCTTGCTCAGAAATCATGTTGCTGGGTAGAGTCTTTCAGAGTCCCTCTGTGGTAGGCTCCTGTTCTGTTTCCTGTTTTCTCCCTCTTCCGATGCCCATCCGTTTGCCTTTTTGAATGAGGATTGAGCATCTTACCCAGGGTCCTCCTTGCTTAGCTTCTTTAGGTGTAGAGATTTTAGTATGTTTATCCTTTATTGTATGTCTAATATCTACTTATAAGTGAGCATATACTGTGTGTGTCTTTCTGCTTCTGGGATACCTCACTCAGGATGATCTTTTCTAGTTCCCACCATTTGCCTGCAAATTTTATGATTTCCTTGTTTTTAATTACTGAGTAGTATTCCATTGTGTAAATATATCACAACTTCTGTATCCATTCCTCTGCTGAGGGACATCTGGGTTGTTTCCAGATTCTGGCTATTCAGGTCCTGAGACTCATAGCCAAACTTTGGGCAGAGTGCAGGGAATCTTATGAAAGAAGGGGGAGATAGAAAGACCTGGAAGGGACAGGAGCTCCACAAGGAGACCAACAGAACCAAAATATCTGGGCCCCAAGGTTTTTTCTGAGACTGATACTCCAACTAAGGACCATTCATGGATATAACCTAGAACCCCTGCTCAGATGTAGCCCATGGCAGCTCAGTGTCCAAATGGGTTTCCTAGTAAGAGGAGCAGGGCCTGTCTCTGACAAGAACTCAGTGGCTGGCTTTTTGATCACCTCTCCCTGAGGGGGGGGGGGGGCAGCCTTACCAGGCCACAGAGGAAGACAATGCAGACAGTCATGATAAGACCTGATAGGCTAGGGTCAGATGGAAGGGGAGGAGGACCTCCCCTATCAGTGGACTGGGGGAGGGGCATAGAAGGAGAAGAGGAAGGGAAGGCAGGATTGAGAGGGGACAAGGAAGGGGGCTACAGCTGGGATACAAAGTGAATAAACTGTAATAAAATAGGTATGGAGAGATGGCTCAGCCATTAAAGGATAGGCTCACAACCATAAATATAAATAAAAAGTAAATGTATAAAAGCAACAACAACAAAAAAAGAAATCGCATTGCTGTGTCTGGTCAGCAAGCTACCCACCCTGACCTAATGCTGAAACATGGACCTATAATTCTCAGAAGCGTCTCGAAAACAGTGTCTCCTTGTCATGCTTTTTTTTTTAACAACCTGAGGCAGCCCCCTACCCATCTCTACTGAACCCACACCTTAAGCAGACCAAGCCGTTGACAGGGCTGGCCACCACCGCAGAAACTGCAGGGCCAGCAGGGCCCTGGGCAGCGCTGCCTCTGTGGCCAGGGCCAAAGCAGCACAGGTGGCCAAGATCACTGGGCACAGCTGAGGCCTGAGGCCTACCTGAAGGCTGATGGGTAGCAATTTATTATCTCTGTAGAAAAAGATTCCTTCCCTACTGCTCTTGCTTATTCAAGAAGTGTCCCCTCCCCTCATTCTGTTTGATGACGCCACCTCTGTGGTATTAGGATGGTAGTGTCCTTTAATTCATCAGGGAACCCTTGACACCTGGAGCTTTCTCAGAGGGGCTTTTGTTTCGTTCCGTGTTTTTATGTAGCCTCATTATGCAGCCCGTGCTGGCCTCAAATTCATGGCCTTCCTTCTCAGCCTCCTGAACGCAGGGCTTTCGGGCACATGCCGCCACACTTAGCAAGGACCATTTTTAACCAAATCTCATTTTCAAAGCAGTATATGTTAGGCTGTTAGGCTGGCGTGGGGTTTATCTGGAATACACAAAGCCCTGGGTTCAACCCCCTACACTGAAACAAACACATCGATTAGGCATAAGGCTCTTCTGGCTTTGAGGGATTTGCATAACGTATTCTAGTTCGCTTCTTTCAAAGAATCTGTTTGTATACGTTGTCAAATGCATTAGAATAACGTTATTCGTATTTCTTTATGGTCCTCTTCACAACTGTAGCAGCTGTGGAGATACCGTCTCGTTCATGGACACAGATCATTTTGTTCTTCTTGTCCTTTTGGTTAGAAGCATCAGTGTTGCTGATCTCAGAGAAGCAGCTCTCTGTTTTCTTTATTCTTAGCGCTTTTAGGCTCACTTACTTTCTCCTTTTTTCACCTCCTTTGTTCTGCTTATCATGGGCTTCAATGCTTCCGTTTCCTCTTGTAAAATGATGGTGGTAGTTGTGTCTAATACAGGAAACTGTTACAGGTTGAGTAAACCATGCATGTAAAGAGCTAGGCAGTGTTCAGGGATCTACTTCTTCCTTTGTCTAAATTAAGAGAAGAGCCACTCTGGACAAATGAGTGAAGAAGGCACCACCTCTGACGGGTGGAGCAAATGAGGTTTCCTCAGTGTCCAGGCCTCTAGGACCGGCACTGGGCAGGAAACTGAGCTGGACCTCAGCCCCACTAAGTCCTGGGGAGGCACCTTTGCAGCACACAAGCCTTCAGTCCTGCGGGTGCCCTCTATGGCGGCTCAGGCACAGCAAATGCACCGGTGAGACTCAGTTCTCTCCAGACTTCATAGTCACCCTAGATATCCTGATATCCCTGGAGGTCAGAAGAGGGGTCAGATCCCCTGGAACAGGGGTTTCAGGCAGTTGTGAGCCACCATGTGGGAGCTGGGAACTGAACCAATGTCCTCTGCAAGAGCAACACCGGGCCATCTCTCCAGCCCCCAGTATCCTGTTCTTACCCATCTTTTCTGAAGAATGTGGACAGATCTGGAAGCTGAAGGTGCTCAGGCCCTAGGCAGATGACTTCCTTGAGAGCAAGATCTTTGATGGGAAGAGTTCTGCACTCAGGGCTGCATAGGCCTGGCTTCGGTTCCAGTTGTGCTGAATCCGTGGGAAGTGTGTACAATGAGCAGCAGAGTCAATGTGGCCCCTTTCGGGCCAGTTGTCCCAATACGGAACGTGAGACCCATGGGGGGGGGGGGGGGCACGTGGCTTGCCCATGATCACGTGGTCAAGGAAAAGGCAGAATTACCAGAAGTCCAGGTCTTTGCCTCGATGCCACCTCCCACGCAGGGTGCCAGAGACATCTAAAATTGGCCAGCAAAACACTGGCAGGCCAAGAATTTTCAACATCCCACCAAGAGATGAGGAAAATACAGTGGTCATAGGGCCCTGAACATTCCTGGCCTCTGCTGATGTTAGAAACTAAGCAGGTTGAGCCTAGAGTACTTGGGTGGGAGGAAGGTATAGTGGTTCTGTTTTCACAAAGCTAAATCCACATGATTTCAAACCTTTATTTTTAGACCTGCCTTTCTTAATTTTACTTGTTTGTTTGTTTGTTTGTTTGTTTATAAAGTTGCCATAAGCCTGCATGGTAGAATTAAAAAAAAACCTTTAATTCCAATACTTGGAAGGAAGAGGCAAGTGGATTTCTATGAGTTTGAGGCCAGCCTGGTCTATATAGAAAGTTTCAGGACAGACAGGGCTACATAGAGAGACCCCATAAAAAAAAAAAAAAAAAAAAAAAAAACTGGGACTGGAGAGATGGCTCAGTGGTTAAGTGGTTAAGTTCTTCTAGAGGACCTGGATTCAACTCCCAACAGCCACACAGGCATTCGTGACTGTCTATAACTCCAGTTCCAGGGGATCTGACACCCTCACACAGACATACATGCAGGCAAACCACCAATGCACATAAAATTTTAAAAATAAATACGTAAAAAAATAATACCACCAGATAAGGGTTGTTATTTTATTTGACATACTGAAAGTTATCAAGCCCTTATCAATCTCTCCAGTTGTTTTGACATTTTATTGGTGTATAAAATATAAATGACTAAGAAGTCTTACATGTATGAAAGATTCCTGGCAGTAAAAACTTGAATCGGTTTCCCTAAGAGAAGCCAAATATTCCAAAGCAGAGAGGTTCATCCAGGACAAGCTAAGCTCAACATATCTCCAGTCTCAAGCCAGATCTCTGCATCAACTTGGGAAGGGGCAGGGGGGCTGGGGGGGGGGGAGCCTGAAAAGAACGGTCATTCTCTGAAATTCTGGGTTGCCTTTCTTTGAGGGACCATGAGCCGTGCAAGGCACAAAGCCATTTTGTTTCGTTATTTTCTCTATGCAGCCTGATCCAATATTCTACTCACTTAAGGGAAATTGACCTTGGAAACAATGTCCTGGGAGAAATGGCTACAGTTGACATCCTGGAAGCACTGAGAGCCAGAAAGACAGGTGAAGTTTCATCTTCTCATCCCGGGACCCTGAACTAGTCGCAAGTGCCCCATTGATTTTGTTTGTTTGTGTTTAAATAACAAATCTGAACTGTGCAATGAGCAGGGGCATTGTCACAGGCTAGCCACTCTTGTGTCAACATTCCACTAGCCGTGCACAGAGCTCAAGGATGTTTGCAATGTTGTGTGTGCCCTTGGATCCTCTAAGTAATGATTTTTATCTATTTTTCGAGACTAGTGTCTAGGTAGTCTTCCACCTTCATCGTGTGAAGTAGCTGGGGCTCACAGCCTGCCCTATTGCTTTTGCTTCTTCTCTTTCCTTTCTTATTCTCCAAGAAAGTTTTTTCCCCCTCTTCTCTATTCTCCTCTCAGCCCAACTTAACATGATTTGTATAAAAATCGGCTGTAAAACTGAAGTGGCAACCATCTTACGACCACAGCTGAGCTGGGTGCTGGAGAGCTGAGACAGGAGCCTTTCAAGTCTGAGGCCATCCGGGGCTACATAAGGATACTATGGAGACAGAGAGAGAAAAGGGAGAGAATGAGCGAGGATCACGGTGTACTTCTAAATCATTCAGGAGGGGTTTGGCTCTAACTGGCAGGCAGCCCTGAGTGACCTATGGCCATGAGAGAACCAATCAATGGTGACCATCGCTGGCCTCACTCTTAGCATGCATGATCAGAATTGGTGACAGCTGTTTTTACTGCCGTCACAGATTTTTAAATGGACAGATTTTAAAACGAAATTCAGCCTTGAGAAGAGTGAGGAGGACCCTGTTCTGGGGCAGGGAGAATTCACCGGCAGCAAATCCTGCCTTCATCATTTCTTGAGTAAAATGGTCACAGGTTGCATTTTTTTTTTTTCCTTTGCCGGCACATTTTAAAGAGAATTACAGGGCGATTGTAGTCTGCTGTTGCTCCATTACAAACTAAAGCCATGCATCTTTAATGACCAATTAAATGATTCTAAGCTGTTTTTGTTTTTTTTTTTTTTTTTCAATTATCCTTTTCTTTTAGGGAAACAGAACACCCGCTTCTTGCTCCATTAGCACTGAGATGGCATTCAGCAGGATTGTTCTGTTAAGCCTAACTTTAAGTGCAGTAAGCAGAAGGCAGGTAACGACTGCTTGGCTTCTTCTTGCGCCGCGTCCATTCTCACACTAGCTGGCAGCAGAAACCCATTACGGGGCTGCAGGCAATCTCCCCGTCATCACTGCAGGGCAAGTAATGAGAGACAGCGGGAAAGAATTTCCACTGACGCGTCTAATTGGAATGGAAAATCTCTTACTCGCTTAGTAAATGGCTCAATTTACATAAATGAGGGGCTAATTCTGGAGTACCCACCCGAAAATGCAAGTGCTCATTTAAACAGCATTAAAAAGCAATCTACGGCTCAAGAAATCAGCATTTTTGAAATTTAGTCTAAGTGTGCGTCATGAGTAGCCTTAATGCGTTTATCTCAGGAGCTGGGATCATTTCGGGCTGCTTCTGATGGAGCGCTTTAATTAGGTTGTTAGTCCGAACCCTGTGAACGGTCCTCAGAAAAGGGTTAGCTGCTCTGATCTCACAGGCTGACTCATTTGTCATTTAGCCCTAAAGGCATCGCTTTAAACCTTAAAAGCCATTAGAAATATCAGTGGTTATAAAAACCTACTGTTCTTTTGGTGGTTTCTGTGCTGGTATTATTTGCAAGTCACCAAGAGAATTTCTAATTCTTTCACAAAATCAGACTTACTTGCTAAATGAGATAGATCGGTTCTCTTTGCCTTTATCTCTCCCCACCTTCTTCTCCTCTTCCTCGGGCTGTGATTTGATTTTGATTTTTTTTTTTTTTCGGCAGGATCTCTGGAGCCCAGGATGACTTTGAGTTGGCTATGTATGTATGTATGTATGTATGTATGTATGTATGTATGTATGTATGTATGTGTGTATGTATGCATGTAACCAAAGCTGGTCCTTCCATCCCAGCCTCCTGAGCCTCTGGGTTGCAGCCCAGTAACCACGGCCTATTTTAGCAGGGAGTTCATGAGTCGACTCTAATGATGGAACCCCTACCGAGCTCCCAAACCTGAGAGCCCTTGTTCTAATGTGAGCCGTTCTGCTCACTCATGCTTCTGCTCTCTCTGCTCAGGTAAACTACCATCCTTAAAAATCACGGTCACTGCCCGTATCTCTTCGGAAACCTTCAGAGCTATTTGGAAACTTGGCAAGAAATCCAAGACCGGTAAAAAGAAGAAAAAGGTAAATTCTCTAACGTCTGTGTGGTTGAGCAGCCACCAGGGGGCGCGGGATGAGGCGTCCGCCTCAGTGGAGCTAGGTGGTGCCTTCGAGGCCAGGGTTTATTTTAGCGTCTAGGTCATCCGCCCCTAAACGGTTCTGTCAAGAGGTAAGCAGCAAGACACCAGCATCATCTCTCTCAAAGATCAGTGGAAACTGGCCCCGGCTTCAACCCCTCTTCCCTGCCAAATGCGTGTTCCGGCAGGCCTCCTGCTGTAGGCCTGCAAGGAGCCTCATCTCGGCTCCTAGGCGCCCATGCTGGCCTCTTGGGAGATGATGATTTGCACACGCTCATTCTCCACTGCGTAAAATAGGACTTTTTTTTTTTTTTTTTTTTTTTTTAAGGTGGCAAATATTCACGGTACGGGAAGAAAACATGTTACGAAATGAGCTGGTTATAAGCGCTAGAGGACGACTTTTGATATAAAAATCAAAACGTATACACATGCATTTAAAAACCTAGACTGCGCTATCCCAAAATATCGGCATCGTTACTACCATCCAGTGATTAAATATTCTCCGGTGTAGATTTGTGTGTGCTATAATTTTATTTGTTTGTTTATTTACCTACTTACTTACTTTCTATTGGGTGGGTCTTACTCTGTAAACCAGACTGGCCTTGAACTTGTGGCAATTCTTCTGTCTCCTTCTGAAACTACAGACATGAGCTGCTGTGCCTCTTTGTAGTTATCGCTGTTGTTGTTTCTTCCTCGTGTCTTTTTAAAACACAACTCTTTCTAACCCAAACAAGTTGTTCATGGGGGCTCATACTATCATCCTAGTAACACTTGAGAGGCTGAGGCAGGAGAATTACCACAAGGCTAGCTAGCCTGAGCCATCTTGTGAGTTCAGGCCAATCTGGTATAGAGTATGAGACTCTGTCTAAGAAAATAAAACAAAAATAATCAATGGTGTTGTAAGGAGAAAGGGAGGGAGAGGGAGACTTGGAGAGACACTAACTGCCGGGAGTGGAAATCCAATAAGCCAAGCCGGCCGGGGACCAGCACTTAGGTCGGGAAACCAAAAGCAACATGTGAGTGGTCAAGCCTGTGAGGGAATGACTGCCGCTGATTGAGCTGCACTTGACAGCCTCTAAAGTAATCATTTACGGGGCCTAAAAAAACGGTAGCTGGCACAATAGCACAGTGTTGCTCACAACTTTGGTTTGGTTTTGTTGTTGTTGATGCTGAGATACGGTTTCTGTGTAGCCCTGGCTGTCCTGGGACCTGCTCTGTAGACCAGGCTGGCTTTGAACTCAGAGATCCACCTGCCTCTGCCTCCAGAGTGCTGGGATTAAAGGCGTGAGCCAGCACACCAAGCTACAACTTTGGTTTTAAACTTCTGCAAAGTGTAACTATTTTTCAGCTGTGTTCCACAGAAAGGTAGCTGCAAATCATTCAATCCTACAATTTATGGCTGTGTGTTCTGACCTCTGGTCATTTTGTTTCATGGGTCCAGATCTAAAAAAAAGGTCATTATTCCTCATAAAGAAACTTAGTTTAATGTATGCTGCATAATTCGGTGCTCTGATTATAGGCTTCTAAGTACTCCTAGAAAACAGAAGGGGCCGCAATCAAAAACACCCTGCAATCAACTAAAATGAATATCATTCTCCTGCCTCCTTCTTTCTTTTCTTCCTGCCCCTCCCACCTTCTTCCCCCAGGTCACAGAAATCCACCTGCCTCCCTTGTGCTGGGATTAACAGTGTATATACATTTCACTCTGACCTCTTTCTTTCTTATTTGGTTTTTGCTGAGTTACCAGAGAACAGAATGTTGGTAGAACACTTAGAGTTTAAATGAGCTGAATGGTGGTGGCCACAGCTTTAATCCCAGGATTAAAGCACTCAGGAGACGGAAGCCTCTGAGTTTGGGACCAGCCTGGTCTACAGATCGAGTTCTAGGACAGCCAGGCTACACAGAGAAACCCTGTCTCGAAAAGCAAAACAACAACATAGTTTTAATGGGAGTTACTCTATAATGGACCAACAATGCCCCTACTAGATACCACGAGCCAACAAATAAAAGTCCAGTGCCAGAAATGGGCTACTTCTTTTAGAGTTGTTGGCCAATGAATTCCCATAGATGCTCAGAATTACGGAGATCTGACCATGCTCTTGGTTGCCCTCCAGAACTTGGTCATGAGACCCTGTTGCTGAAGTAACCACATATTTGAGTCATTAGAACTTGGAGAAGTCAAGCTGGTACTGGCCTGGAGGCATAATCTCTACCGGCTAGTTTCCAAAGAGCTACGAGGGGGCGTACATGCGACAGGAAGACAAAGGAGTCATCACTCTGACTTGGCTGTGAACCTTCCTAGCTACAATAACGGCCAGACATGCCCACTGGTGCAGTTGTGGCACAAATGTCATGGGAGTCACTAACCAGCTTCTGACTGGATTTGAGGCCCACTCAACAAGGTGAAACCCATATCTGGCACCATTACTGGAGCCAAGAACCTGCCAGTTGTGAGACCTTACCGCTATTACAATCGTAATGAATGCAGTATTAAGCTAACCCCCAAGAACCTGTTATACTATCCTCACAGATTGCTGCGTCTCCCAACCCTCATCAGAAAAGCTTCTTAGTGCAGTAGGGTTGATCAACACAGAGCCAGCACAACTGACTGCAAGGAAACTGTCTCCAGGCACAGAAGGGAAGCTGCACAGCAGTCGTGACAGCAGGCCCAGGACTGTGTGCGCTCAAGCCACACAAAATCCCAGCATGGAGGGAGGAGGTTTGCAGGAACTCTAGCCTGAAGAGCTATTGGCAATTAATGGCTGCTGGGAGGGGGGACGCCAGCTTTCTTTAAGGCTGTGGGCCCTAGTGGGTGGGCCATGCAGTGGGTTGCCCCTCACCCAAGAGTGCAGAGGCAGCAGAAATGGGATTTGATAAGTGGGCAGGGAAGGACAACGGATCTGAAAGGAGCTGGGGGAGGAATGAATGTCATCAAAATGTGTTGTATGAAATTCTCAAAGAACTTTAAAAAAAAAAATACCAAGGTAGATGGTTCCTGGGAAATTTTGACTTAGGTTGGCCTCTGTTCTCCACATATGCTCACACATGAGTTCCAGGACACACTTGCGTGTGTACACACAGAGGTAAATAAATGAATACATAAAAGCAGACACATACAAAAGTGCTACCTTGATCATTCTCAAAGGTCTTTGCTCTTTTCTGATGTAGTGGGATAAGGAGCCCACGCCCCAAAACCAAGGCATTTTTTCTACATGACTTGTTCAGTACGCTGAAACTTTTAATAGCAAGTGAGCATAGCTATCTACACCACAGAAGTCTCCACATACCAGAAAGGAAAGATATGGCAAGAACCGAATTATCTGGGTGTGTTGGTGCACACCTATAATTAAAGCCTTTGGGAGATGGGGTCAGAAGAATCAGGAATTCACAGCCAGCCTCAGCTAACATAGCAAGTTTGAGGCCGGCCTGGCTAAATGAGATCCTGTCAAGGTGGAAGAAAGCATGTCTTAAGTAAGAAAACTACCTGTTGTCTTTTTTGTTTGTGTTTGTTTTTTGAGACAGCGTTGCTCTGTGTAGCCTTGGCTGTCCTGGAACTCACTGTGTAGACCAGGCTGGCCTCAAATTCACAAAGATTACCTGCCTTTGCCTTCTAAGTTTTAGAATTAAAGGTGGGGTCCACCATGCCCAGAATTTATTATTTTCTTAACTCACAACTTCCTGTTCATTTTTTCCACAGGTAAAAATCTGAATACAGATGCCATTTTTCCAAATGGATGTCACCTGTTTCCATGTCCAGACTGACATAGCTACAAAGATACTGCTTGTTGAACACAAATATTTTTCATTGCCGTCACTCCTGTTTGGGTTCTAAAATTCATTAAGACCACTTAGGAGTACCTCTCCCGTCACACAAATCAGTCTCTTAGCTGTGGGTTTTCATTCTGCCCCTGCTGCCACTAAGACACCAGGAGAAGGCCAAGGCTTCACTAGCAGCATCACGACTGAGAAAGGCATTACTTCTGGAGACCCACCTATCAGCGCTGGCCTACCATGGGGAAGACTCCTTGCCCATCTTTCTAAGGAGCATCTAACTGTAACAAGCCAGTGCATGTCATGACAGTGAAGATGCCTCGTGCTGGGTACCAACTTGATTGAAGGTTGAAGACAAGAAGCACAGAAGGAAAGGACACTGACAAAATTGATGAATGGGAAAATTCAAAAAGTAATTGGTTTTGATAACAAAGTGGGGCTTAGGACTGTTGAAACAGGACCTAAAATCATAAACCCTAAGTAATTAAAGTCAAACCCAGTGTGGTGGTACAGACCTGTAATCCCAGAGGCTGGGAGTAAATTTAAAGACAATCCAGCTATATAGGGAGTTCAAGGCCATCCTGGGCTACATGAGACCATGTCTCAAATACAAAAAGAAAGGAAGAGAGGGAAGGAAGGAAGGAAGGAAGGAAGGAAGGAAGGAAGGAAGGAAGGAAGG